CTGAAACCTTCATTTGCTGGTTTATGTTGCCCAGTAGAATATGGATTTGTTCTGAAACCTTCATTTGCTGATTTATGTTGCCCAGTAGAATATGGATTTGTTCTGAAACCTTCATTTGCTGGTTTATGTTGCCCAGTAGAATATCGAACCAGAAATCGATTTCAATACACTTCCATCTTCTAGCTAACTTTAAATGGATTTCCTTTCATCACAAGGACCTCAATTTATTGGATTTTGTTTCTATCTTTACTAGAAAAGAAACGAAAAATACTACTGTCGTAAACTGTAAAATAAACGAAAAAAAGTCGTGGCCCAGTTTTACGTTTGGAGAGCTGTAATTGCACGTCAAGCTTTGTTGTTAAACATAAGATGGAGAACTTATAACAGACGTGTCATTTGAGTTAATTATCAATTTGCTGTAGTTCCCCAGTTTTTCCGTTAGGGTATTGTTTCAGCATAACATACCCTAAAACTTTCCGCTGGACCACCAGAGGGTTATGGTTTTACTAGTGTATGATCTTGGTCGGGTTTTAAGTCTTTTGTAGACCTGGGAGGGTAAGAAAACTGATTTTGTTAACCATTACGATGGGCGCCAACTTATTTAAACAAAAAACCAGTTGAAGTAGTTAATGAAAAATTAGGTATAAACAAAAGTTTCCAAGAAACTAGAAAATTAAACTTTGTCTAAAGTCGATACTTTCCAAGTCAGAATCGTACTGTAAGTGATGGGGCACGTGCAGCTTGTTTTAGGTGTATCTCGAGAACAATCCCAAGACCCATAGGTTCTCACGTGCAGTTTGTTTTAGGTGTATCTCGAGAACAATCCCAAGACCCGTAGGTTCTCTGTGTCTAGGTATTTTTATACATCTTAGACCATGAACATCCATGAACCCCGTACAGCCTAGAGCAGACACACTCAGAAAACCCGTACAGCCTAGAGCAGACACACTCAGAAAACCTGTACAGCCTAGAGCAGACACACTCAGAAAACCCGTACAGCCTAGAACAGACACTCAGGAATCCCGTACAGCCTAGAATAGACACCCTCACGAATCCTGTACAGCCTAGAACAGAAACTCAGGAATCCCGTCCAGCCTAGAACAGACACCCTCACGAATCCTGTACAGCCTAGAACAGACACACTCAAGAATCCCGAACAGCTTAAAACAGACACCCTCACGAATTCCGTACAGCCTAGAACAGAAACCTTCAAGGTATTACTGTCATGTTTAGATGTTTATGCTAAAACGTATTCTAGTCATGTCATTGATTGGACAGTTTTAGTGTGTTATGTGTTTAAACCAACTAAAATAACACAAAAACAGACTTTCCACTCATAAAAACAGGAAATATCAACCAACAGTACAGTACCAAAAAACAAACATCGTGGACATGAGGAATGTGTCAGATTTAAATAAATACTTCCCAGCGAAAACACAAGTCTATTCCACCTACCTGTTGGGCTCGCCACACTTCACCAAGAGGTTCTATATTTTCCACTTTCGTTGGCAGCGAACAGTCGGGCACAATCTGGTCGTCTTCGAACACCTTCGAACCTTCGAGCACTAAGCAGCAGGTCCTACGCATAGCTTGCTCAAGGCCGAGAGGTACACCCGCAGAACATTGAATGAGAAGCAACGTATGTGAAAGTAGGTCAATCGATATGGCAAAGGAAGTGAACGGATACTGCTTTTGATGTTCGGTTAATCGATCGTTGTCTCACAGACGAATTCAATATCTTATTATGATCGTCCGCTAGCCTTCCATCGACCGATATTTCATCAATGAGCTGGCGCCTTCCAGCGCTGGATTACGAAATTATCAATGCCTCTTTCCTCATTTGTCAGAGAAGCCTCACTTTCATGAGGACGTTTGTGATTGGGTAACGTAATAAAAACGCCACGTGACTTGCTTGTGAATGAGTCCTGCCTGAGATGGGGTGGGAAAGGAGGGGTTCATAAGAATGTCATGACGCCGTAGAACCCGTCGCTCTGTCCCCCAGCCACAAGATGTCTTTATATTATAAACAATTTGCAGCCAAGGAAGGGCTATCAAACTATTAACATCTTTAGAAATTAATAGTTATACAGAAAACTCGGGCACAATAGCGATCCTGGTGTTACAACACAATAGCATTTCTGTTTTCTCTATTTCAGAAATCATTGATTCGTTAGAGAGATCGTCAGGTTTGACTGTAGCTCAATTCTACCACTCACAAAACACACACAGATAGTTGGATAGCTAAACACGGCTGATCATTTGCCTGTATTTAAGATTATTTATTGATATGGAAATATAAACAAACTGATGATACTAGGACTAATGCGGTATTCTGATTAAAATATGGTAAATAGGAATCCAACAGTTTTCTTAACAAACTGATGATACTAGGATTAATGTGGTATTCTGATTAAAATATGGTAGTTAGGAATCCAACAGTTTCCTTAACAAACTGATGATACTAGGACTAATGCGGTATTCTATATTAAAATATGGTAATTAGGAATCCAACAGTTTTCTTAACAAACTGATGATACTAGGACTAATG